TTGGTTAAAAAGATGAATGGAGAAAACCGGCTATGCGTCGATTTTAGAAATATCAACAAGTATACTATGAAAAGTCAATTTCCAATGTCTGTGATTGAAACTTTAATTGACAATTTAAGTCGATCCAAGTATTTTTCATTATTAGATCTGAAAAATGGTTATCACCATGTAGAGATGGACGACGAATCTGTTAAGTATACATCGTTTGTTACATCTACGGGGCAACACGAATTTGAAGATGCCGTTTGGGTTGTCAGGCGCACCAGCAGTGTTTTCGAAGTTTGTGGCAGAAATATTTAAGGACATTGTAAAGAATGGAGGACTTGAGGACTTGATGAGGACTGGTTCATACATCGACATTAGAAGATCATGTCTTGTTGTTTAAAAGAGTGATTGAAAGGATTAGAAAGACTAAATTGCGACTTCTTTTAGATAAATGTTATTTTGCCATGAAAGAGATTAATTTTTTAGGCTACCAAGTAAAAACAGGACAAGAATTAAGACACAGTTACTATTTTAAAAATATGAAGAAATACATTAAGAAAGCTTTGCAAATTGTATTAGTTCGAAAGCAAAATATGAAGGAGGGTTATTAATACAATATTGATAAAGGAGAAATTCCTTGGCAGACTTTACACTTAGACCATCTGAGACCTCTAGAAAAAACAACAGCAACATATTTTGGCAATGATTGATTCATTCACAAAGTTTATATTTTTGGAAGCAGTGAAAACAACAAAAACAGAAGAAGCATTAAAAATATTACAAAGATTATTCAAAATTTTTGGATATTCTAAGCGAATAATTACAGATAGAGGAACATGTTTTACGAGCGAGAAGTTAAGACAATTTTGTGACAAAAATGATATTAAATTAGTACAAGTGGCAGTAAAAGCACCGAGAGGAAATGGGCAGATTGAGAGATATAACAGAACATTTTTACCATCATTAAAATTAGTAGAAGATAAACCTGAAACATGGGACAAGCAAGCATTGACAGATGTATAAATAGCTATTAACTCGACTTGGCAGAAAAGTACCAGTAAGATACCATCGGAAATCATGATGGGGTACAACCTCAGAACAAATAAAAGAAGAAAATGTCATAAAAGATTGTATTCCAGGTTAGAGAAAAGGTACGCGAAGAAAACCGCGTATGGTCGAAAGGTTGGCAGCACCTACTGACCGAGTGGCTAAGATGGGAAGTAAATTTATTGGGCTATATCGTATTAATAAAGTATTGGACAAAGACCGATACGTTGTGAAAAGTATTCCTGGGTGTGAAGTAACTCAAAAAGCTTATGAAGGCGTTATTCCGCCGGAACGACTAAAACTGTGGATTAGACATGAGGACAGCGAGAGTGGGATGAAGAGGAAGGCGAGGATCAAGAGGTTGAAGACGAAGAGGAAAAAAATGTTGAAGACGGAGAAAAAGATGTGGACGAGGACATCACAGGATCAGCAGAGGCTGAGCTGTTAGTTTCCTGGAGCCCGATGACTGAATAAAGTTGTGTTTGACTGATTACTGAACGCTCGGCCTTAAGCCTACAGCTTAAATATAATGGCAAATTAGAGTTGTAATGGACCAACGTGGGACCACATCACATTTTCATGTATATTAAGACTATTCATCTTAATTTTTCATGTATTATCTACTCTAGAAGTCTGTCAGCGGTTTTTTGAATCACCCTGTATATTTGGCTTTATTATACTTTTATACTTCTTCATTGAAGTATTGCAATGTGATAATCAGCTAATTATTTCAATTTTATTTATATTTTAATTTAACTTTTTTTTAAAGAAGAAACAATTATATTTTCAATTTCTCTCTATAAAACTCTAAACAAGAGAATAAAATTTGAAAAACTTCAGTAACAGAAGAACACGGAATAAAACTAAGTAAGAAATATCTAAACGAAGGGGAAGTCAACCGCGCTTTATATCCAAAGCGTAAAATACGAGTATAAAACTTCGACAAACCGGAGATTGTGGCCTGAAGCAGCTCGAAGGATGGGGGTTTGAACGGATCCCGTGAAGGTGGTTCCCCCTTTACCCAAAACCCGAAGGACTCTTGCCCCAACTACGACCTCTTCCGCGTTGGCCGAAAACAAGACTGCCCCTTGATCGTCCATTATCCTGAAGTTGTTCGCCAGGCACTCGAACTTATCGTTTCCTGCAACCGAAACGAAAAGGTGCAACAGGAAAGATTTTTTTTTAAGAAAATTGGTTTAGTTTTCGAGGTGGAGCTTCGTGCCTTACCTAAATATATCAAGTTTTCCAGGAAACCATTCTCTCCCCTCGTGGTTAGTGTTAGGTTCCTACTGGACTCGATAATTATCGGTTGACCCGCTCTGGATCTGATATTGCTAGCGATTAACGAATCTAAAATGTAGGCCTTCCCTTCCAACTTTAAACCTCCGGTTATTATTTTTAGTTGACCCATTCCTTCCTGAAATTATAACAACAATTAAAATAATAATTACAAAAATAATTAAAAGAAGTCATTAAAAGAATTATTATTCTTTGAGTAATTATGTTACAAGTTCTTGTGTTTCTAAAATAACTTCAAGGACGTTAGCTTGGGTTGAGTTAGTTGCTATAATAAATCACCTAAATCCTTGCGTATAAATTACATTTATGACTCGAGATAAACGACAAATAAATTTTAATACGAACGAAGTTGTATTAAGAAAACTTTAAATAATAACTCATTTTTAAAACTATATACTAAATTACTCTTCTTTAATAACAATTTAGTTGAAAAGAAACTCTAATCAAGTAATGATGCTGAAACAAGTACTGGTCGGTCATTTAAGAACATTCCTTGAAGACAACTGTTGCATCCCCCAATTAAAGAAGTTTTAATTACGAAATTTTTTAGACAAAAAAAGAGAGCCTTCGGCTACGGGAGGCCTTTTAGGCGTATCCTTTGTCTGGGCTCTGAACTATAATTACGGAGCCGTTACAGTCTCTTCTTCGCAAGATTCTTTTTCGTGCGGGGACAAGACCACGACTCATTATCGGAATAATTACTTGAAAATTTATTATAATTCTCGTTTTAGAATGAAACGTAATTTGCGAAAATGACGAGATGATGTGGTCCTGGTATTTCTATTTCCCGTTGCACTGCACGTGTTTAAGATAAGGAAATGATGAAGGGGTGGTTTTGCCGAAAGGGAAGATTCAGTGAGTTCATTAACGAGTGTCACGAAATGGGTTTAAATTAAGAAAAGAAAAAAAATAATCGAAAAAAAAAAGTTTTGGTACTAAATCATATCACTCTATAAGATGGCTAAGATGGTTAATTGAATAAAAATAAAATCAGTTTTGATTTTGTATACTCGCATGGTATTCAGAGAATATCCTGTTATGTTGAGTTTCTTCCTTCTTTCTTGTCAACCTCGATTCTGAGCTTTCCAGACTATGGATCTATTACCCAGAATTTTTCTCTGCATGATTTGCAAATTTGCGTCAGTACTATCTCTCTATCCTTCTGCATGCGTCTCATCACCTCCACGTTGGTCACTTTCTCTACCCATGAAATCTTTAACATTCGTCGGTACATCCATATCTCAAATTAAGTCTTCTCACATCAATCGCCTTAAGTCTCCAGGCTTCCACCCCGTAGAACAATACCGATAGCACATAGCACCTCATCATTTTCAACTCCAGACTCAGAACCCGACAACAACAAAAATTCTTCATTCCATTCCTCTTCAATTCTAATACGCACCTCTTGGGAGCTGTCGTTGTTATAATTAATTGTTGTACCTAGGTATTTGCATTCTTTTATTCTTTCAATAGGTTGACCTTTTACATATATCTTATTATTGTTTTTGTAATAACCATGTACTTTGTTTTGCTTATAATCAGAGCCAATCTATATTCTTAGCCTACAGTAACTATTCTGTTGCAGATCTTCGTGGTCTTCTATCAGTTCTAGTGATAGTGCTAGTGCAAAACTAAAACTAGCACTAGACCGAGAACTAGAAACATTCGGGTTTAGCCGCACGTCTCTCAAAACGGCTAAACCCGAATGATTCTAGTTTGAGGTTTTGTGTTAGTTCTAGTGATATTGCTAGTGCAAAAGTAGAACTAACACTAGACCGAGAACTAGAAATGTGTAGCCAAGTATATTTGGTTGTCAATCTTTTCAAAATACTATTAATTATTTTCTGTAGTTTGTGGGCACAAATTTTATTACAAGACTAAGTTACTAATAGATTACAAGACGGCATAAGAACAATCAAGAAACTGTTTCCACAAGTCGAGGAAGATCAGGGGAGAGAGCAAGAACCAGAAGAACAGGAGAAGGCATATCTTACCAGCTTGTTCACCATCGAGGAATTAGAGCAGAGCATCAAACAGCTTAAATTAAGAAAAGGTTCTGAAATATACTGGAAATTGAAATTATAAGGAGGCAGTGTAAGGAGGCCCTCTGAGGTTGATAATACAAGAAAGAGACTTGGCAGAAAGGAGGAGGACTGGAAACAGACTGGTAAGAGAAAAAAACAGATTCAAAACTGTTTATAGAATAAAGTGGATGAAAATGGAAGAAAGAGACTGGGGAGAATTGGGAAAGACTCGGAAAAATTGTAAATAGAAGAGAAGAAATGAGTGGACACTGAAAAGACAAGAAATATATCGAGTAGAGAGTAGGGAGTCTCACTGAGGTTGATAATATAAAAGATAGACTGGGCAAAAACAAAAGAAGACTGGAAAGGAACTGTTCAGGCAAGAAAAGGACTGGTTGTAGAATAAAGAGAATGAAAATGGAAAAAAGTGACTTGGCAGAAAGGAGAAGGATTCAGCAAAAACTAGTAATAGAAAAAGAGACTGAGAAGACACTAGAACTAGTAAAAAAAAGTTGAGCAAAGAGTCGGCAGAGTAATAATACAATAATTTAATGATGTAGTGTATCGGAAGAAAATGTACACGAATACAACTCAACCCAACCCAACCCAACCTATTCCATCTCAACCCAACCTAACTCAACACAACCCAGCCTTACTAAACCCAACTACATCCAAGTTATCAGAAAATGGAATCCATAATTTGCTGTATTTTCCAAATAGTCAGAAAATTATGTTCGATGAAAAATTTATCATATATGTAGGTAGTATTTATTTTTATAGAGTATCCTATTATGTTGAGTTTTTTCCTTATTTCTTGCCAACCTCGATTCTAACTTTTGAAACTACGGATCTGAATTGTTCGTTGCTGGTGCAGTCAAACCACTCCGGAAGGTTCTGCAGCTGAGGTTACGTCTTCTTCCTATGGACCAGTTTCCCAGAATTCTTCTCTGCTTCCTCCGGGATTCTGTGTCTCTAACCGTGTAATTATATATATATTATATGTATATTCCATTTAAGTGGTNGGAGAATTATTTTTTTAACAAAAAATGTTTAGAATTAACTCATAAGAAGTATTAAATAAAGATATTTACTCCATAAATCAGCATTACCAACCCAACTTAAAAAAATTGAAATTTTGACATTTTCATGAATTTTCTTTTATATCTCATTAATTATATCTGATGGAAAAAAAGTTTTCATACAAAAAAGATTTATAATTAACTCATAAAACTTATCCAATGAGTTATTTTAATCCATCGATCAATAGTACCAACCCATCTCAAAAATAAAACCGAATTTTGATGTTTTTGATCATTTTCGGTTATAACTCATTAATTGTGCATGATGGAGAATTATATTTTTAACAAAAAATGTTTAGAATTAACTCATAAGACGTATTGAATAAAGATATTTACTCCATCAATCAGCATTACCAACCCAACTTAATAAAAATTGAAATTTTGACGTTTTCATCAATTTTCTTTTATAACTCAATAATTATATGTGATGGAAAAAAAGTTTTCATACAAAAAAGATTTATAATTAACCCATAAAACTAATCCAATAAGTTATTTTAATCCATCGATCAATAGTACCAACCCAGCCCAATAATAAAACGAAATTTGTATATTTTTCAACCCGATACTTTCTAGTTCTATGTCTAGTGTTAGTTCTAGTTTTAGTACAATAAAAATATGTAAAATAGTGATATCTTATGCTAACTAGCGCTATCTACCACTGTCACTAGAACTAATATTAGACATAGAAGTAGAAACGTTTTGAATACAAATTTTGAAACATTTCGTTTTGCCGAAAGGGAAGATTCAGTG